GGACTCGCTGGCCGCTTTCCCAGTGCAGCCACCTCGTAGACAGACCATGGCAGGACTCGCCAAGGATTGGTCGAATTAGATGAAGTGTGGATGTGGGCCCTCTTCTCCTTGCAGTTGTCAGTGGGAGCTCTATCGAGAATCGCCGTATTCGAATCCTGTTAACAGAAAGAAAAACGGATTAATGACTTTTCCTACCTATGTCAGCACTCTGCGGACAGGCTTACCTTTAAGGGGTTTCCATCTCATTGAAACACCACATGCCTTGGATGCTTCCCCAGTGCAGCCACCTTGTAGACAGACCATGGCAGGACTCGCTGGCACCAAAGATTGGATCCTGTTAACAGAAAGAAAAACAGATTAATGACTTTTCCTACCTATGTCAGCACTCTGGATACAGGCTTACCTTTAAGGGGGTTTCTATCTCATTGAAACACCACGTGCCTTGGATGCTTCCCCAGTGCAGCCACCTCGTAGACGAACCATGACAGGACTCGCTGGACGCTCCCCCAATGCAGCCATCTCGTAGATGGACCATGGCAGGACTCGCTGGCACCAAGGATTGGATCCTGTTAACAGAAAGAAAAACGGATTGATGACTTTTCCTACCTATGTCAGCACTCTGCAGACAGGCTTACCTTTAAGGGGTTTCCATCTCATTGAAAAACCATATGCTTTGGATGCTTCCCCAATGCAGCCACCTTGTAGACGGACCATGGCAGGACTCGCTGGACGCTTCCCCAATGCAGCCACCTTGTAGACAGACCATGGCAGGACTCGCTGGCTCCAAGGATTGGTCGAATAAGCTGAAGTGTAGATGTGGGCCCTCTTCTTTTTGCAGTTGTCAGGGGGAGCTCTATCGAGAATCGCCATAATCGAATCCTGTTAACAGAAAGAAAAACAGATTAATGACTTTTTCCACCTATGTCAGCACTCTGCAGACAGGCTTACCTTTAAGGGGTTTCGATCTCATTGAAACACCACATGCCTTGGATGCTTCCCCAGTGCAGCCACCTCGTAGACAGACCATGGCAGGACTCGCTGGCACCAAGGATTGGATCCTGTTAACAGAAAGAAAAACAGATTAATGACTTTTCCTACCTATGTTAGCACTCTATAATCGGGCTTACCTTTAATTGGTTTCCATCTCTTTGAAACTGCACATGCCACAGTGCAGGCACCTCGCAGACAGACCATGACGGGACTTGCTGGGACCAAGGATTGGTCGAAGTAGCTGAAGTGTAGATGTGGGCTCTCTTCTCCTTGCAGTTGTCAGTGGGAGCTCTACCGAGAATCGCCATAATCGAATCCTGTTAACAGAAAGAAAAACGGATTAATGATTTTTCCTACCTATGTCAGCACTCTGCAGACAGACTTACCTTTAAGGGGTTTCCATCCTGTTGCTAGACAGACCATGACAGGACAAGCTGGCACCAAGGATTGGTCGAATTAGCTGAAGTGTGGATGTGGGCCCTCTTCTCCTTGCAGTTGTCAGTGGGAGCTCTACCGAGAATCGCCATAATCGAATCCTGTTAACAGAAAGAAAAACAGATTAGTGACTTTTCCTACCTATGTATATAATAAGTAGAAACCTGGAATGCATGGAAATATATACAACGACACTACAATAAAGCAGCCCACAACAGCAGAAAGCCGGTGATGTATCCTGCGAAGATTCCTGAGCGACGATTCCTCGTGGAAAGAAGCGAAGGTTTTAGCTGGCCAGCTTAGAGAAACGTCGAATCCACCGTCCAGATGACTGCGTGTGTAAGAAACAATATGTCGATGAGCGATGCGATGACTTGGGATGAGGAAAAGATTCGGAGAAATGTGAGTTGACTCCTGTGTCCTTTTTGCTTGATACGGGGCGCAATACATGGCATCCTTCTTGTTGCTCCAGATCTGTCTGTCGTTGAATGAACGCAATTTCAAAATTCCGCGCTTTTATGCTTTCAGTGATGTATAGTCACATGGTGGCGTTCCAGTTGTCATCAGTGATCAATTTGTTCATAGGGGGTGGCGTTTGATAGTGATGCCCATAATTGATTATAATATCTTATTAACATGAACATTTAATTAACTATTTTTATTTTGATTGCTCTGTTTATCATTTTATTATATAATAAGAGTAATAAGCACTTAATAGTGACTTCGAAATGTACAGGCAAATTTGATGAAAATTTCTGAGCAATATACTTTCTCCCCAAAATTATAATGGACACTATGTCCGTTAAACTAGAACAGGTAGACGTGAACTTCTCACACGCCACAATGGTACGTGCGTATTCGAACACTGATCCAAAATGTGGATGATGTAATAGGTTGTAGGGTGACTGCATTTTCGAGGCATCCCAGGGAGCATGATTGTTTTGGTTGTAGTAAATTGTAGTGAGTCGATTGAAAGTACACTGGGCCTAGCAGGTACAGCCACAACATACTTTAAAATACATGTTGTAATCAACCGACTTGTTATTCTGAGAAATGAAAAACGAGTTATTGCGTTTTTACGAAACGAAAGAAAGTAGCAGTAGGTCAGATGAAAAATATTGATTTACTTATACCAGGCAGTAGAAACAAATGCATATTTTTTATATAAAGCGTCTACTGATATAGGCTTGGACCTAACTAGAGATATTTAGGTCCATGATATAGGTAATGACTTTCTCATTTATGCGTTTACTTTATCCCCTTAAACCTCAGTTGAAAAATGCACTAATACACGTTTTATCATTGTTTTAAGTCTGAGTGGTCACTGGCATCTTTTCACATCTCCCTGGCGATCACACCAACCTAAGTTGTCGAACACTAGAGCTTACATGTTAATAAGTCAATTGCTTATTATCAGTGTTTTCATGACCAGGCACACAACAGCTCCATTTGTGTGTTTGTTTGTTTGTTTTTTTTTTTTTTTCAGTGAGGTGGTCTTTGACTTGACCCTCCTTGAAAATCGGGACTTGCTTCGCCTGCCTTCTCCATATATATGTCCATTTAACATTTTAAAAAATTTCATTAGGAATTATCGAGAGAAAAAATGTATGTCCAAGCGAAAAGATGTACTGCGATACCCGAGCGTTCATGTTTGTAAATATCCCATATATTAAATAACAAAAGTACCTCTAGACAATGATGGCTTACTTCAATTACAGTAATAAGAGATAACAGACAGTTATAGCCGTTTATATTTTACATGTTTTTTTAATTAATGAAATGTTAACAATGAAGAGTATTGATGTTATGGATATTGAACATGAGAAGTGCAGTCGATCACCCAGAGTTTCAGAGACAACTAGCGAGTTTTATTCTGTAAGTTTAAGTAACACCCTGAGAACCACAGGTCGGTCCAAACTCTTCTATTATCAGGATTATCGCATCCGCGGACCCCCTTCTAATAATCCTGGATCCGCCCCTGCATGGGAGCATTGTTTTTAAGGGGAGATAAGTATAGTCTTCTCTTTCTGATGTGTCGACCAAAATGAAGAAATGTCAATGGCTTTTACTATTTAATAACCTCCATTGGCTTTCTCCTGACGTTGTGCAACACATGGCGTTGTTCAAAATTATTACCTCCGGCAAGGAGGTTATGTTTTTGGTTCAGTTAATTTGTCTGTCTGTCTGTCTATCTGTCTGTTAGCAACATTGCAGAAAAAGTTATGGACCGATTTTGATGAAATTTTCAGGGACTGTCAGAAGTGGGCCAAGGAACAGATGATTAGTTTTGGTGGTGATCAGGTCAATAATCAATCAATAATTAAAAATAAAAAAATAAGTTATGGACCGATTTTGATGAAATTTTCTGAAACTGTCAGAAGTTGGCCAAGGAACGGATCATTAATCAATCAATAATCATAAATCAAAAAACTAAATCAATATAGAATGAAAATTTAGGGGTGAAACGGCGTTCGGTGCAGACTTTGCTGCCCTGGCGGAGGTCTGCGCTGTCGGAGTGCTTTCTAGTTATAGATTACGATTACGATTACGTGCATTGCATTTCTTGTTGATAGTCCGGTTGGTAAGCTTACGATTGCATGATATAAATTTCAAAATAAAACAGAGAGGTAATTTGGTTTCAAAGGAACTGTGCAGTCCGTGTGTAGTTTATTCTCGTTGAAAAGTGTTTAAACTTTAATTCAAAAATAGAGAGTCAGCAAATGAGTTTTTACACCAATATAATGTACCAATATAATGTGTGTGTGTGTGTGACGGGTAATAGTTTTCAGACCATTTATTTGGTGAAGACAATGCCCTTTATAGCGATAGAAATATTTTACGCACACAAGATGACAAAAACTGCCGTTAAATTTTTAAAAAATCTAGTTTTTGCGTTTTCTTCCTCCCAATCCTTTGGAAGAGATTTTCTTGTCCTACAGTCAGTAAGCGTCTCAAAGTCATTCAGGAGGTACAAGTAACCTTGTTCTGTGGCAGATCATAGGTCATGGCAGAGTAGGTACAAGCCCCTCCCTATTAATGAAACAAGGGAACATCGACCAAATTTTCATCCTTGAGCCGGACATGCTGAAGTCAAAATGTCCTTGTCCACCGTTTTATATTTGCTGAACAAACTGATTCAAGATCTTCCACCTATTTTTCCATAAATACCTCTTGAAAATAATAATGATTAAGCAAGGTTAATTTAAATATTGATTTATTTCTTTATATAACAATCTTATACCATTTAATGTGTAATTAATTGTATTTGCATTGATTTGCATTTGGCTACACATTTCATGCCCCATTTTTAACATATTGGTAAAATAACAAATGCTCATTCCCCATATTAACATATTGGTAAAAAAAAAAAAAAAATAAAAAAAAACAAAAAAAAAAAAAATAAATAAATAAAAAAAAAAACACTCCCGGAAGGAATGAGACATATACAGTTATTCTTGAGGGTTCCATGGGAAACTTGAAGAAGTTACATTGCGCAGGCTAAAACAGCCTATAAAACAACAAAATTCACATTTATCCCTGTTATAACTTAAAAATAAATTTTAAGCATAAATATTACTGACCACTATAACAATAAATCTCATTTGACAGAAAAATCATCAAATCACTGCCGATACCTTTAGACCATTTTAGTATTTTGAGAATTAAAAATATGAAAGAGAAACTGTTCATTAATTAATCACAGGTGCTTCAATCTCTAACCTGATGTCATATTTCTATAGTCCCCAAAAATACAGTACGCTGAACTTGAAAATTTCTTTATTAATCATCAAACAGCTTTTAAATAGCACATTAACAGGTACATTTAAAAATCAGGAATAATTATAAATAATTCATAATAAAATGACACAAATATCACTACTTTAACAACTGACACAGTTCCTCAGGGGTAACATTGCCCCCTGTCAACACAACAACCACATTTTTTCCCTCGAAGTCTGGGACTTTTCCTGCCATTAAGGCTGCAAAAGCAGCCGCACCTGAGGGTTCCACTTTTAATCCGGCATTATACAGTGCTGCCACAGCAGCAACGATTTCTTCATCTGTCACTAAAAGGATTTCTTCAACAAACTGTTTACAAAGCCTGTATGTGATTTTACCTGAAATATATCAATTTGTGTGTGTACTCTCTGTAGTATCGCCAATCAATTTTGCTTCTTGTAAGACATAAATGCATGCAAATGTTTTTTTTTCTCATATTATCACACTATCAAATTAGATATAATTAAGGAGTTTCAACACATTTTATCTTATTTTTCCATACAAAATATAGTATATTAAATAGACTAGATCTTCAACAATTGTTTTCTGCATTCACGTTTCCAGGTTGTTTACATAGAAATTAGATGGTCGAGGCTAGATTGCAGTGTGAGAGGATTAATGCAGATGAAAATTTCCGTCTACAATTGGACATAACTTTCAGTCCAAAGTTCTTTAGAATTCAAAATACACAGAAATGAGATCCAGAATCACTTAATCAGTTTCAACACTCATTTAATACATACCTGCATATGGTGGGGCCAGACCAGCTGCTAAAGTTTTGACATTTGAATTACTTGCTGGACACCCCATCTTAAAACTGTCATACATGGTACATGCTACAATGAAATTGAACATTATACATAATGAATGATAAAAAGTTTTTCTGAGGGATTTAGCAAACTTGATATTTCAATATTTGTGACAAATTCTTCATAGAACAAGTCAACTTGCTAAACACAATGAGCAGTGATACAATGTTTCAGCTTTCTTTTCTTTTATTACAAAATGCACTGAAAAGGTTTTATTTATGAATAGGCAAAACTGTCATAGTCTAGGAACGGGATTTCCTTTTCTTCAAAACCTCAACTTTTAGATCAATAAAGGCATTGAAACTTTCCTCATTATATTCATTCACGAAATAATGATAATTATATGGTTCTTGGTACTGAAGATACAAAAATATTAAAAACATTACCTCCTACAGGTTCGACTGCATAAACTCTACAATTTGGTGCTCCGCAGAATTTAATGGCAGCAGCTGTTCCAGCAACCAGCCCTCCTCCCCCACAGCACACCAGAACAATATCGGGTTTCTCTGGAGACAGGTCGGCTAGGATTTCAATGCCTAAGCTGAAAGAAACCATGAAAGACCAGGAAGGAGGGAAAATGAATTTTTCCTAGAAAATCAGTACTTATGACACTATCCTCTCTACTTAAGCTCTCGGCCAATACTGAACATTTGACCCACAGGTACAGTACTGTATTACCTTTAATTCTTGAGCCAATTATATGTATGCTGGTTAATCACTATTTGGCAAATTAATTTCTTTTGACAAGTAAATAAATAACATGTGTGTGTGTGTGTGTGTGTGTGTGAGAGAGAGAGAGAGAGAGAGAGAGAGAGAGAGAGAGAGAATGAGAGACTAAAAAAATTCCAAAAGGTTGAAAACAACGAAATGCTTCCTAATTCTACCTTCCATGTCCAGCCACAAGATTAAAGTCATCAAAAGAGTGAAGGTAAAGCATCCCTTGTTCTTTGACATATCTTGTCACTGTTGGCTCCAGCTCTGAAGTGGGACATCTTTCAACTTTTGCACCCAGGTCCTAGAAACATGGGAATTAAATAATAGCTACGGCCGTATATAATATAATAAACTACACATGGTATTTTCACTGCTCAGGCCTGTAGGCAGGGATGTTCCCAAGGTGGGGAGATGGGAGGTGGGTGGGTGACAGAAGAGTTCCACTGCAAATCAAAATTTGATCTTGGTTCTAGACATTTCTCAAATTGGGTCAGTTAAGGAGAGGTGGAAGGGGGAGGGTCCACAGATTGAGAAAAAGAACCTCCCTATTGAAATTGCATCATCTTTTAGATTAAACAGTTTCCCAAAATAATATATTCTTAATCAATGTTCTCATTTCTTCTTCTTCTTCATGTGCCATCACCGATTCGGTGTTTGACGAACGATGATATTTTGCCAAAGGGTTCTATTTCTCACCCATGACCAAAGGTGTTTTGGTGGTAATTCAAATTCTCATCCCTATCCTCATTAAATTCATACTCACCTGTATGACAGTTACCCTATTGGCAGGTGCTGTCTCAGGCATAATCACCAGGCCCTGAAGACCCAGTCTGGCAGTGGCGTAGGCAAATGCTTTGCCATAATTCCCTGCTGACATTGTGATCAATTTGGTCTCTCCACTGGTCACACTGGCAGGTAGGTGTTGTAGTTGGTTACTGACCCCTCTCACCTTGAATGAACCTGAGACGAAAGTGAAGATAATCTCAGCATTTTTATTAAGTTTATTGTTATGTCAATGGCAGTGACAGGTTTTTTTTATATAAGACTTTTTTTCTGCACTCCAGTGTTTCTATGTATCAAGCCACCTTTGATTTTTTGTTATTCCCTATTAATATCTTGGTATGAAACTGTTTAACATATAAAAGTAGCTTTTTTTAAAATATCACTAACCTACTAATACCCTTCAAAGCATGTCTTCAATGATATCCACAGCATGAATTTTGTTTAGTGACTGCACTGTTATAGGTAAATAAAAAGACATATCTGAAAATTACAATAGCTCTGCTTCTCACTCAGAATAAGTTTTTTTCCTAAGCAATAGCTGAAGTTGTTTACTTTCTACAAAAGCAGTGCATCTCATTCCCTGATGAATTGGAATGCAAGAAGTATATTTCTGTATTTAGCTGTTGTTTAAAAGAAGCTCTTACTTCGTGCTGCAGATACCAACTACCTTCATGTTATATTGGTTATTATTAGTGACCGTCTGTAAACAGCATATATTGATTTATCACTGATAAATTAATTTTCAGACCCTCTGTAGGGTCTGGACATCTATTTTTGTGTTGCTTAATTAATGATGTTGAGTGTTGACTGCGGTCAAATATGTACTGATTGATTGATTGATTGATCACTGATTGGTTCATTATCACTAACCTGTCACTTGCATATTCTCCAGTTTCAAAGACAATGTTCTGACACTCTGTAGAGTAGGGAGGGTGGGGAAGAAAATTCCTGCATCTTTTATCAAGGGTGTCTTAACACAGAGGGGGCTCTCCTCAACAAATTTTGCAGCTGCTTGCAACTTTTCTGCATCTAGTTCTTCATCTGCCATAGCTCAACAACTGGCTGGAATATTAATCCATTGTAAAGCGCAATGCAGTGTGTATTTTAAACTATTTTGGTATTAACTTGTAACTGTCCTTATAATGTCTGAGGGTATTGCAATTTAACAGATGATTATGTCTAGATTTTTCCACAAAATTTTACTCACAATGTGAAAAGTATGAGTTCAAGAATAATGAATCCTTTTCATCTTTTTTCACTTTCCATTGTATATGACAAAAAGAAAAAAATGTTATTATTTGCATATTACAGGGTAGTACAATAGTACAGCCTCAATATCTCTGATACTAGTCAATGTATTTTCTAAACAAATGACTGAGTGTAAACAAATAGTCTCTGACTGCAGAGGACGAGCAAATAGACTTGTTGCTGCCTCAACGGTTCCCTGCCATCCGACATGAAACTAAAAAAATATTACAAGCAAGCGTGAAATCATGATATAAATAAAATCGCAGTACTTGAAAAATAAATGCCTCTCAGTCAGCCTGCACACCCCCAGCTACCATGCATGTTGTCACAAAATTAGGTCACTTGCACGCATGCGCAAAAACTGTTAAATTGACCTACTTACAGCTTGCTAATCTCAATCTATGCTACCCCTCTACAGCACTATTGCGAAAAAATGCTCAGTTCGCGGTTACAAACGGACAAAATTGCGCAGCTTGTTGTTGGAAATTGGAGATATATTTGACCATTATTATTATAACATTCAAGAGGTAGGTGAAAAGGCAGTAAAAGAAAACGGTAAATTAACCCTTCATCTTAATGGTACCGTTCTTAGATTTTTCTTGCAACTGATAGATTCCAAGTAATTTATGAAGAAAAGTGGTGGGGGTAGGGGTATGTCTTTGTTTCCCGCGCAGTCGCAATGGGCACCTGCTCAAAGTAAAAATTTTCGGCAATGTTTGTGTCGAAAATTCTCGATTTGTCGTTTCCTTTTAGTCTGCGCCAACACCACCCTGCTGGTGAAATGGATCTTGGCCTCAAGTAGACTGACCTTTTTGGACAAAACAAAGCGAAAATTCTGTCAAATTTGAAGAATTATCACCCCCTGTCTCTAGCAGACATCTTTCTCGAAAGTGGTGCAAATTCGCGCAGACTCTGGCGCAGTCGCAAATGTTCCCCAGTGATAGACCACGCTTGACTCTCAAGATAACTTGTCTGGGACAATTTTAGAAATGTTGGATTGTTTTTTTAGCTTATATCTCTCGCAAAACGACGCTCTCATTCTCATCCGATGGGCGGTATCTGGGGGCGAGTCAGTTGCTGGTCGTTGTTGTGCAGTCACGCCATTATTTTTCGATTAGGGCGCACTTAAATTCGCTTGGTCTTACAAAACGTAAAATGCTTCTCAAAACTAGTAGCATGTTTACATATTTAATACTTTTCACGTAACGGGAATATGTGCTGAGGAATTTCACAAGGAAACGAAGAATTTCTGCCTTAAGCAGTATTCAATATGGTGATTGTAACGAACATAAATGACACCAGCAATTGTAGGCCAATAAAGGAAAACGTTTATGTCTGCTAGTGTTACATTCATTTCTAGCACGGTTGTCAAAAAATGCAAGTTTTACATTTCACATATTGCTGTTTATTTTAAGAGCAGTGTTCATCAGTTTGTTCTTTATGTGTGTGGGATGGTTGGGGGGGGGGGAACAAACTTGCCTTAAAAACTGGTTTGAGCATGACAGAAGTCATAGTTTTCTGGAGAAAATGTAAATTACAGTGTAGAATGTGTGAGAGAATTGGATGACAAAGCTTTTTGAGTCTTTCCCTGCTGAATAATTGACATAACAATGAAATAGATCTACTCAATTCACACCACCTGGCTCCCCATCAACCATGCACCAACCACAATTAAATTTTTGAAGTTTGAATGGTGAGTTTGATCTTTGATTTTGAAATGTTGCCTCGTCGAAATGCTTCTTGTTTGAAAGAAACCACTCCCTAATTGCTTTTCAAAATAATAAAAAATAAAAAACTCTTTGATTCTGGGTCTACACTTGTACTGTTTTCTTCACTGTGCAGTTGCATACTCTTAATATTACAAGTCTCTTAATTTGTTCAGTAGGATTTGGATGCAAATTGACAAGCTTTCTTTTTGAAAATTTGAAAATGTGTGTTTTTCATGAGCAGATAAAAGGAAACTAGATTTTGGGTATACATTGCCTTAAATCATGTGTGCACTTTGTTATTACCTTATAATGTAATGAAAATGAGAATGATGACTTAATTATTTCAATAGTTTTAAAATTTATATTTCTTCTTTCCTCTCTTCATGTCTCAGAAGCTGCCATGTCGCACCACGTTGTGACGACAATCAACACATCGTCCATCAATAACAGCGGTCAGCTTCACCACAACATGAGCCATCACTCCATGATTTCAGACGATATGGACAGTGAGCCTAGCTCACCAGAGAGCTCCTTTGACCATACCGACCTTTTGGGATCGGACGATGTTGCCACGCAGCTAGCTGCAGCAGGTATTAGAGGGAACTTTTAAGTCCCTGATTAGTGGGAATTAAGTTTCAGAATGATGTGTTGTATTACATTTACAATCACCACCCATTTTGAAAAAAAAAAAGAGCTTTAAGGCAAACATGAAAACAAAAACTCCTTTCAGTAATTTTCCCGTTATCAAATATTCTGTTAAACATAACAAAAATGGAGACTGCTGTGGTCTTTTGAAAAAAAAAATAAAATAACTATGTCAGACTTCTGAATTGATTTTGTAGCTTATTATTTGTATCATGAGAAGTAAAGCATGGCTTTTGTGATAATTTGAATATTTCAGGCCCCATTGGTGTTGCTGCAGCTGCTGCTATTGCCACAGGAAGGAAAAGAAAAAGGCCACATTCATTTGAAACAAACCCTTCTATTAGAAAAAGACAACAAACAAGGTTACTTAGGTATGGAGGTCAAAGCAGTGTGGTATCACTTTTTTGAGGTCAACAAAAATAACATATTAACCAAAAGAAAAAGTTTTTTTTTGGTGTCAGAGGATAAGTTGATGCTTATATGGACTTGTCTGTTTTTGTTACTTGCAACCAAGCAGGGCCATACAGACTTTAGATTTAATCTTCTTCTTTTGATATACTAAAAACCATGACTATACCATTTGTGCCACAGGTTTTGTTAGGTCTAAACATTAAAACTTGTCTTTATTCAGTTTGGTGTCATAACTTGTAGGAAATTAAAAGCCACCATAGATGAATTCACAACCCGAGTAGGGCAGCAAGCTGTGGTATTATGCTGTACTCCTGGGAAGCCGTCACAGTCCACACAGTCTTACAAAGTATTTGGTTCACAACCTTTGGAAACCGTGGTATGTATGCTCAGACCAATATGGTATATATCTTACCGGACTGTACTTTTGAATCCAGATCAATTGATTAATTTAAATGATTTATTGCCATCATCTAGTAGTAAAACATATTTTGTCTTGTACTATTTGTCAGATTTTTGCTCAGTGTTTAATCTAATTTTCTTTATTTCTAGGTTCGTAACAGTCGTAACACAGTTATGCAGGAATTGGAGCAGGCGCTGTCTCAACAGATTCCTCAACCCTCAGCAGATCTCGTGGGGCTTCACGAATTACCGCCTCTTGTCATTGATGGTATCCCTACTCCAGTGGATAAGATGACACAGGTGAGACAATTATATTGAAATTGTGATTAATATTGGTAAAAATTTAACAGCATACAAAACACATTCAACTTTGATATAGCAAAAAAAAAAAACTTTCAATTTTAGCAATGTTCTCCTTTTTACCAACTTGGCAAGGTATGATCTTTCCAAAACTGTTGAGGAAATTTTGCTTTATTAGCTGGTTTTCAAACTATTCATAACATTACAAATAAAATCCACTTTCTCTATCTCTGCTATGAGAGAGACTCAAAATTAGAATCTTAGAACTAAAAAAAACATCTTGTACAATATAAGTTTGTCAACAGTTTTGGATATGGTAAGCCTTGATGATAAAGATATAAGTTTCCAGGATTTTTAAAAAATGATTTAATGATCTAACACTCGTATGGTTTTATGTCAGTGAGTGACAGCAAAAAAAGAATGATTTTTATTTAGCTGATTTTGTCATTTTATCAGCACCTATATTGTGCTTAACTTTAAAAATGCCCAAAAACAAACCAACAAACAATAAAATAATAAAATATTTTATAAATGATAAAAAAAAACAGTCATTGTGATCTTAGGATGTTAACAGGCACAACAGCAGACAAGATTTTGTGGATAATCAATATGTTGTGTACCACTTGGTGTTGAGTGTATCTAGTTTACCTGGCGCTGGTTTTAAAAGAATGTGTGTGTATGGCAGTCTTTGATCGAAAATAAATAAGTGTTTTTCAATTAAATGAAATACTTTGCGTGTTTTGTAATAAGAAAGACATGGATAATGTTTTAACCAATACTTTAGGTTGACTGTGGATTTATTTTGAACTTAAATTTTGATTAAAAAATTTTGATGAATTTTGGGACTAAAGTTCTTCTTTGAAACGTATAGGGAAATCCTGATTTACTGTCTGCATATATGCCAGCCTTGCTATCTAACTCTGATTATCTGATAATAAGAATTCCACCCCCCCTAAACTTTCCATTGCTTGTAGGCATACATTCCAGACTGATCCATTTCTCTTGTCCACTAGGTAGTCAGACAAGGTTATAAGAATCAGCATCAGCTGCTCTTGTCTTCCAGGCACAGCTTCGAGCTTTCATCCCCGAGATGTTGAAATATTCCACGGGGAGAGGGAAACCCAACTGGGGGAAAGACGAGTTCAAACCTCTCTGGTGGCCCGAAGACGTTCCCTGGGCTAATGTCCGTAGTGATGTCAGGACGGATGAACAGAAAAAAAAGGTACACGCGTTTTAAAATTCGGCCTTTATTTTCATCCCCAGGCTCAACTGCGTGCTTTTATTCCGGAAATGCTGAAATTTTCAACTGGGCGCAGTAAGCCTGCCTGGGGTAGAGCAGAAGCACGCCCCATCTGGTGGCCGGGGGACTTACCCTGGGCTAACGTCAGGTGCGATGTGAGAAGTGATGAAGAGAAAAAGAGGGTAGGTAAACACTGTATCAATATGGCCAGTTTCTGCTGTGTGAGCCTGGAGAGAAAAAGGTGACATGACCATTGATACTGATGGGGATGACACGTAGAGATTTGTAGCTTTTTCTCATTTTAAGGAGCTGGTCAAAAGCTGACCTTTTTGTGGTTTTTGTGGAAAGATATTGACATAGTGGCTGGAAAACCAGCATTTACAACTCAGCTGAACACTGTGCAGAAAGTTCTTTTCATTTCTTTTGTCATTTCTTGGCAAAAAATACAATGTAGCCATTTTGAAATTCCTCCATCAAAACTTGGCTTTTAGCTTAAAATTTTTGCCAGCAATCTACCAGAGATTATCCCTTAATGTGTGTGCTCTCACAAAATGAATCCTAGTCTGTATATGTGTTTTGCACTAAAAGTCATAGTGGCAGTCATTGTTAAATTTATAAGTATGCCAGTTGGGAAATATACCATTCTATCACTTTCAGGTTTCCTGGACCCATGCACTAAGAACAATAGTAAAGAACTGTTACAAATACCACGGCCGAGAAGACCTCCTTCCCGAGTTCACAGAATCCAATGACGTTAATAACTCCTCGGTCCAGCAGCATTACACACAGACCGTCATGCAGACGATTAACAACCCCGATGGCACGCTGTCGATTATACAGATCGACACTGGTAGCAATGGTCCTAATGTAGTAACACTTCCAGATGGTACACATGCCACAGTTGTACATGCGGTGAGGGAAGAGAAGTTATGAACAAATTTACAAAATTTAACTGGCATTTGGCCTGGGCCAGTGTTTACCTTGTATATTAGGAGGGGGGAGGGGGGGGAGATAAAGAATATTTTCTCTATCAATTTCTATACTGGCATCAAGTTATTAGTAAAGTAGACCAAATTTTGGTGTAAAGGTTAAGACACTTCTGGATGAAAGATGTTTCTGTGTCAAATTTTGTCTGTATTTGAATTGTGCCATTGCAGTGAGTTTGAAGTTTGGTATGACATTCCTTTGAATTTAAATAAACAAATTAATTTGAATTGAAGGTTAAGCAGGGATGAGATTATTCTGATTATTTGCGTATTTCCGACTGGAGTTCTTGTGTGAAGCACATAACTTGTGTATTACTTATTAAAGCATTGTTTGATTATCACACCTATTCTTTTTTTATGATGTCAGATTCCCCACGGGCATGAAGCCACGCAGGCAGTGCAGACACTGGCCGAGGTTGCAGCCAATCAGCAAGGAGGTCAGCAGACGCCTGTTACTGTGGAAATGAACAGTGAGGCGGCCACGCATGCTGTTGCAACATTGGCAGAGGCAACCCTAAATGACGGGCAGATTATTCTTACAGGGGAACATCTTGGAGGAGATGGACACAGTAAGTGAAGACAACTGTGTGTGTGTGCATGTGTTTCTTCCAATTAAGCGTCATTGCGATTTTCCTGAAAGATTGGGACTGAGGATTTTTTTTTTTCAATTTGACTAATTAGACTACTACCATATTGTACATAATATATTGTGCATAGTGCTAAAAACAGTATATCTTTCATATCAGTGGTGATGTTAACACTGGCTTCAAGCCAAATGTCAGTATAATGGAGTGTAGCAATCTGTTCAATCACTTGCTACTACTTTATGCATTGGGCTAGTTGGACTTGAGTGTCTAGAAGGCCCAGTATAGTAGGCTTAGGAGTTTTTCCGGCACAGACAGCCTGTTGGTTATCTATTCTCTCTCCCTCTCTGTCTCCTAGGTATGATGATCCCTGTCTCCATGTACCAGACTGTCGTCTCACACATCAACCAGATGAATCAATCAAATCAGCATGTTCATGTTGCCATGGCACCTTCCTCGGAGTCACAAGAAAGCAACAGCGAATCGGTACCGGACGCTACGCATGCTGTGGAGATCATCACCGTGTCTTCAGCTGACAGTTCATAGTTTTCTGTTAATCGTTTAAAAGTCTTCGTAATTATTATCATGTTAGGTCAGTAAGGCTCCGTTTGTAGTCTGAATTTATCAGCAGGAATCTTTATTTTAACTCATTAAATACAGAATAGGCACTCATCTTTTGTACTCGGATGTTTAACAGCATTTTAGTCTTTTTTCATTTGTGGGAGTAAATGTGTATTATACATTGTATATATTCATTATTTTTAACTGAAGTACATTTTATGGAGCATCATTCTGTGACAGAAGCAGTTTCACATTCTAGAGAAAGTGAAATGGAGAGAAGACTTGAAAAGATGAAGAATCTTTAAATGTTTTAACTCAAGTTAGCTTTTGTTGTTCATTGAAATCTCTTTTTAAGAATTATGATTACATTTGAGAGGAATTGATTTTGCATGTGTTTGTTCTGTGTAATTTGAAAAATACATCTTCGAAAGACTGATTAATTAATACGATCAGCAGGGATTTTTTTTTTTTTTTACATTTTCAATTTATAAGATATTTAGACATCTTTTTGAGCACATGTATTTAAAATTACGTAATCTTTTACATTTTTTTTCTTATAAACCAAAAATTTTGATGACTGTCCTGTTATATTCTGAAATTAAAGTATATGTAAAGAATTCCAGGCAGTCGCTTAAAATTGTTGAAGCACTGTTATTTGAAGGCAAGCATGACGTGATGCTTCTAGGTAAATGAGTCATTATAATAACTAGGGTACACTTTATTCAAATACTTCTTATTATTCACCTCATCTGGTAAAAGTAATACAATTTTTCCTCATTTTTATTTTCATTTNGTACCATTTTTAGTTATATATATTTTTTGCATATTTTGCAAATTCTTGTTGATTGCATTTTTACAGCTTGTCAAGCACAAGACTGGTGGCTGTGTCCCTTATTTTGTGTATGTGGGGGTCTATACGAATGCGCTTACTCCAGCTGGTGGTACAATATTCGGAGGCGGTATCGCCTCTCTGATCCTCTAGTTTTATTTATTTTTTGCTCCAGCTGGTGTTTCAATAGCCAAACGTAGTTGAAGATGACATTCACTTTACTGATGCTTGCATTTCCTCATGTCCTGTATGTGTCAAGCCTAGCTGTGGTGTTCTTTGGAGATTCTGTTTGCAGTTGTGTTGAATTTCGCAAGTCTGGAACTTTGGGAACATTGAAGGCTCGTCTGCGGACTTGGGTAAAATGCGCCCCAAGTCCTCTTAACAGCCCTATCATTAATGTACAAATTGTAATTTAAATGTGAAGATGTAAAGTTTCATACTTAAGCAGACAAATAAATTTAATGTTTTTCAGCCAAGACATTCTGTCTGCTCCTGAATTATTTAAACTGAAAAACAAATTTTAAAAGAGCACTTAAAATAACAAGTATCTTCTGATTTGCGGGTCTTGTTTGCAATCCAAGGACTATTGGTCATAAAATGTATACAAAACAAGACGAACATTTATAATTCAACTGTTTAATATGTTTGATCACTATTCTTTTGCCTCACAATTTCTGCTGAGATAACTATGCATATTTCTTCAAAATTCAAGAAATTCTTTTTCTGGCTCAGGTCCAGTTTACACTGATACAGAATGTGCACTATTTTTAAATGCAGCACACCAGAAGTATTTCAAACACACAAAAAAGATTTTTCCAAGAGTGAAGAACCCATTTTGCTATGACACCAAAGGTGGCATTTATTACTATAAATGCATTAATAGAATAAAATGCAACATTTGTAAAAGTTGTTTAAATGCAATATTAACCTTATTGGTAGTGGAATCTTTAACAACAGGAAAGAATAATATTCCAAATTCATGATAATACAGTTTTGACTTTCATCTCGATTTCACACACGACTATTCTTTGCAGCTACAAAAACCATGCCAAACCAAAAGCAAGCAAAGGAATAAATTCAACACAAACCAAAAAGAAAGAAGAAAAATCTGAAAAATAAACTGACAAGCTATTGGATGTAGTACATAAAAATTGATATAATTTTATAAGAATAATCCAAATCCTCAAAAGTAGAAAAACTGAAGTAGAATGAAACCTTTAAGCAATAGGGAGAGGATAAATTATTGGCACAAAATTCTGCATGAAAAAGGATTTTTTTTTCTAAATTTTCATTATTGTTCCTTAGATTTTGATATCAACTGGGGGTCATTTGGCCACCATTGGCACTTTTCAATTTTTCCTCTTCAACTACCTTATCCTTTTAAGGATGTTTAAATATCAAAATTTTCACAAAATTAATTTCCTCAGTTATTTTTAACAATTAAGAAATCAAAATGTAGTACCTTTATATATCAAACAACAAATTTAATTGCAAAAATTACTCTTTCAGCCATTTAAAAAAGACTTTAAAATAATTAGCTGGCAATTTTTTAAATCCATGATCAACCTTAGATTTAAATGTCACATCAACATAATACGAATCCAATTTCATTGATGAACATGTTTTTTGTATTATCACCTCAATGAAACCCAAAGGTTTGCAAAAGCTAATATCAATCATAAACACTTAAACAAAAGCCAAATACTAATGCATCCATTGCAAAATGATTTCATCAATTACCTTAGATTTCATAAATTACATCTTATGCCACTTCCAATCATAAATAGTCAATTACCTCCAAAAATGCACTAATATACAACATCACTTTTCCATTAAGAGCTTTCAGCTACAGGACTCTCATAAGTTGTCAATTCCAATGATAAATACTAACTAAAAGATGGCACCATGGATTATAAACCAATATTTTCTGTTCTATCCAGCCTGACATGGTCTCAGAGAGTGGCCCCATAATACAGTGTAATGCTGACATTATCACATGATCCAAATGTACAGTGCTTACTTTGTACAGAGTAGCCCAAAATGACTTGTACAGCTATTTATGTTTTCTTTTTTTTCTTATTTTTTCTCTCGTACTTATTCTCTTTTTTTTTTTTTTGAATATATATGACAATTTTTTTTGTAATGTCCACTGGTGAAAACAAAATATTTTCTAATAAATCTTCTGGTAACATCACAGGATATTATGTGACATCACTAATGACAATATGTATGTGTGACATCACTGATGACCTCACATCTGTGTGACATCACACTTGGCACCACATGTGACATCATCAGTAACCTCATAATATAACTGCCAGTGAAAAAGTGATTACACAAACTTGGAGACAAGTTGACACCCATGGTTTCCACTCTCTTCTTTATAATTAGTATCTGAAAGACAGTACAAAAAAGCTGTGTTAATGTAACTCTAAGAAGTCATAAAGAAATATTCTTTTTAAGTCCAATTCAAGGCTTAAGGGAAGTTACTCCAGATAAATAAATAAATAAATAAATAAATAAATAAATAAACAGATTTTATTTTGAACACCTGTAGTAATTGGGTTTGAAATAAATAAATAAATAAATAAATAAATAAATAAATAAATAAATAAATATTATTTTGAATACCTGTAGTAATTGGGTTTGAAATAAATAAATAAACAAACAGATAAATAAACATTATTTTGCATACCTGTAATAATTAGGTTTGAAATAAATAAATAAACAAATAAATAAATAAACATTATTTTGCATACCTGTAATAATTAGGTTGGAAATAAATAAATAAACAAATAAATAAACAAACATTATTTTGCATACCTGTAATAATTAGGTTTAAAAGGTCCAGCCTTGTTGAGGCCCAGGTACTTGGCCTGTTCATCAGACAGCTCTGTCAGGTGTGCATCAAATGTTGGCAAATGGAGGCTGGCTACGTACTCATCTGAAAGGGAAAGTTTTGCTAAGACCTTTGGTTTTTTTTTTTATCTTAAGTTTCTAATTTCAGAGATGGAGACAGGTGAATTCAACATATAACACACACACACACACACACACACACACACACACACACACACACAAAAAAAATTTGAACAATTTTCTATAGTTTATGATAAAATGTACATTAGTTATCAAAGTAAATAATTTAATTTTATTTAATAATTTTATTTCGTTGCATATAATTTCTTTCTTTTTTTTAGTGATATAAGAGGTCTTGGTTGGCTTAGAAAGACAGTGAAATCCTTCGTACCCATTTTCTTTGGCAGTAGATACACATCCTGCTTGTACCTGCCAGGGGGTGCATTGTACAGCTCAATGAGAGCAAGAGCCTGCAACCAGCAAAAACACAGCAATTATAATCCATGCAGAATCATCATACTGTATAAAGTCTAGAATTACACACTTCTCGAAACAGACTGATATAAAGAAGCAATGATGAACACAAAGTCATTATCAGTAGGCGGATCCAGAGATATTTTCTGACAGTCTTCCAAATTATCTTTGTTGATACATCTGCCATTTTTGAACTGTTTTCCAATTAGATTCCTGTCAATGTTAACTTGAAAAATTACGGAAGACCCAGAAGACAGCTTTCGTTCGCCCCTGATGATACTGTATAAAATCTAAAATAATGCACTCTCCAAAATAATGACTGATATAGTGACAATGAGACAAAAACCTAAAATTTCACACATGCTAAAATAACTTTCTATTCATTTATTTCTTCATCTTTTTGACTGTACAAACAAATGTCATAGATGATAGAATACAAAGGAGCCTTTTGTTGGTCTGGTAATATATAATTACTCCTTAAGGTGGCAGCACCTACCTGTGTAGCGGCAGTGATGGATACAACAAAGGATGGAACGCTGGAACAACTCAAATTTACTAAACGTCCCTAAAAGTTCAAGATAGGGCAGAATCTAAGTACATATTTATTCTATTTTTCAATCAGAAAAAAATACATATTACATTATCAGTATGATAAAAAAGAAAACCAGCAAGTTTACATTAAGTTTTCAGTTACTAGTCATTATAATATTATTTGCAACTGATACACACACAAATGATTAAAAAACTGTATCATTTCTTTGAAATTAACAAAAAGTGGAAATATCTTCATAAAAACCATCAAAACCATCAACCAAACCAACTGATAGCCAAGGCTCTAGAAGTTACCTCAGCCAAAAGTATAATCCTCTTTCCATCAGCCCAAATGATATGGTCCACCTGAGAGCGAACTTTCTCCCATGTTAGTTCTGGGGTGCGGAGACTGCCCTATAATATATAGCAACAATACCAGCTATTATTATATTTACTCAAAATAAATAAATAAATAAATAAATATCTCTATGTATATTTTTAATTTTTCAAATTAAAATTTGACTAGGATACAATAATCTACAGAAAGGAAAAGCTTTTGAATATTTTTTTTGTAAGTGTTGTGCTAAAATTGAAATGTGCCTTTATGTATAAATCTTCTCTGTGAAAAAATTATGTTGGCTGGTGTACTGTCTGCATGTATGTTAAAAGAATTTAGGTCAAGATATTCCCTCACAAAATAAAATATCTTATTCATTTTAATCACCTAAAACAACTGCTATCAGTGACCCCCCCCCCCCCCCCCAATGAAGTTCACTAAATACTTACCACATCAATTTCTGTATTTGAGTGGCCCATGTTGCACACTATACAGCCGTTCTTTAACCGGTCTAAGTGATCTCTAGTCACCACATTCTTGTTGCCTGAAAAAATATAAAATACTTGTAGAATTATTTTGTCTAACAACTTATTCCTACTTTGGGACTACTTTCTTTTTTATTTTCAAGGAAGACCCACACATTGTTATTATTATTATTATTATTATTATTATTATTATTATTGTTATTATTATTATTAACACTTACCTGTACAAGTAATAAGGATGTCAATCTGGCGGACAACTTCATTTAATTTGACCACACGAAAGCCATCCATACTACAGGAGAAAAGAAATAACATCATAAACATGTTAGTGCTTACAGATAAAATTTGTGTCAAGGTAAAGCTTCCAAGGATCTTCAAAAATCTTCCAAATTAATATTATTTGCTGGCTGTGAATGCTTAATTTGCATTTCTACCTTTCTTTTTTCACTCGTACTTTAACTGACACTGAAAAACATGTCTAAATACATGTTCCTAAAATGACTTGGGTCTTAAAAATGAACTTAACATTTACAGAGTAGGTGTTAAGACTAGCTTGCACAGTATCTCCACCTATGTTTCTTACCATGCCTGTAAAGCGCAAATGGGGTCAATCTCAGTAACCATGACTACACAGCCTAATCCTCGCAGGGCTGCAGCACAGCCCTTGCCAACCTAAAAGAAAAAACATCCAAGTTCGTATCAATGCTAAAATGAGACGGTCAATTTATTACACTAAAATAAAAGAATTTTATTGTAGTAGCAGAGATAATACAATATCCAATGCTAATAAATAAATAAATAAATAAATAAATAAATAAATAAATAAATAAATAAATAAATAAATAATCAACCTCACTGTTTGTTATTATGGGGATTAATAAAATAAATCACTAATATTATTATTATTTTTTTTTTTGGCAATCAAATTCCACACACCTCACCATATCCACATATTAAGACCTGCTTCCCCCCAAACATCACATCAGTAGTTCTTTTCAAACTGAAAGCAGAATAAAATCATTTACCAGAACAGCAATCAAGTCAAAGAAACGTCACTTGAAACAGAACACAAAATATTCGATTTTACGTATCCAGTTTCAAAAATAGTTTCCTGAAACCAGTTTAAATGTGAAATATTATTTTAGGCATGTCTTTTGTGCTAATCAATAAACTCCTCAACAACTGTTTCTCTTGGGGACGAAAGTTCCAGGGTCTTTTTTTCCATGGTGGGTTTTTATCTAGGCCACCATTATCTCACTGCATGGAAACTAAATTGCCTGATAATTGAAATTTACCTCTTTGCTCTGATGTATCAGTTTCAACACATTTCTAGACTTGCAATGAACTGAACCAGCTTTTGTCGTATGCACTGCAATATTTTACTGACATACAGTTGTACATATAATTTTTAAAAACGTGGACTCCCAAAGCTAATAGTTTACTTAATAGGTCTAAATATAAAATTTTAAAAGGGCAAAAATTGTGCATGTATTATCTCTATCCTACTGGGTATGACTAATATTATCTATAATGTACTGGCTGCTCACTGCTTCAATACCAGACAGAAACTTTGATGCTTTTTGCTTATTAAGGCTTCAGTATAACAGCCATTTATCATCTCACCCAATTCTTACTTATGGATTCCTTCATTTTCCTTAGTAATTGGATGATACAATTCATTTTCAGTTTGGGATTACTTAATTTTCTTCAATAATGAAGTTAATTGACAGCCATAAATCATTGTTTTTTCACCAAGAGTTCCACTATTATAGATTTCATCAAATATTACCTCATGCAATCAATCCACAGCAGCAAGACGATTGTGCATGAGCTCATTAAATCTTGGTCACTTACGTTCACTTTCACTGCTCATTTTTTTAATTGAATGATGGCTTTCATTTACACAAGTGGGTAGATTTTTATGTCATTATCGAGGATGACGGTGCCTCCATGTGTGATGACTAACTTGCTCTATGTCTTCTGTTATAATTGAACTTAGTCCCTCGGGCTAGTTTTACAACAGAACTATAGCACAAAATTTTAGATAAAAATCTTGTGTCTACTTCAAATCAAGATAAATCCACAGTGGTTCACTTCAAAGTAGATTTAAAACAATACTAAATTGTCTTTCTTGGTATAAAACAGGTCCAATGTTTAGTGTAATTATATTATTACCAAGTTAACTCGAGTCAAAGTACACTAAATCCTATTTGACCAATTTTTGAGCAAAAGTTTTGTGAATCGGTGCCCAGGAACTAATGGTCCTGGTAGCAAACAAAAACTCAGTCATTTACTGATATAATTTGTGGTTTATAGTTTTTTTCTTTTCTAACCTATTAATCACAGAGATACCAACTGGCTTATAGTGCTCCCTACTTTGGATACCAACTGGCTTACAGTGCTCTCTACTTTGAACACCAACTGGCTTACAGTGCTCCCTACTTTGACTACCAGTTACAAAATACTTACGCATCTATAATAGATTCTCTGCAGAGGTATAAGTTGTCAAATTTGGTCTGAAATAAAATGATATGTAAACATATATGAGGTGGACACAAAAAATGTACCACATTTCCACAACAATTTCCTCAAAAAACACCAATTTCCTAAATATTGTCTCCTGCACTCAAAAGTTTTAGTCAAGATTTTTTAAAACATTCAAATTAAACAATATTTCTTCTGAAATATTCAATATAAATGACTTATAACAATCATCCATAAAAGCAATGCAAATAACAGCGGAAAAATATGAAAGGGACGGTAATTCCAGACTCCTTACCTTGGTGACAGAGTCGTTGACATTCATAGCTGGTACTGTCAGTTTCCCAGACTTGGACAGCTGGTAGAGTCTGTGCACTCCAGTGACGCTCTCCTCAACAATTCCCTTTATCTGATTGAACAGGTGAGGGTACTTCTTCAACATCAGGTGTGTGGCATCGCCACCATCATCTATGATCTGTAAATAAGAAGGCAAAGTTATTAGTTCTGTTAATAATAATAATAATAATAATAATAATAATAATAATAATAGTAGTAGTAGTAGTAGTAGTAGTAGTAGTAGTAGTAGTAAGAGAGCACACTTGAGGAGTTACGGCAGGCTATAATGCCTATCAAAGAACAAAAATTTATGTCCACTAAAACACAAGATAAAATGGTAGCAGTCATTTTAAATGAAATACCGCACCGATTTTATAATAGGGGCAATAATACTGGTAACTTATGTTTCAGACCAATACTTTTAGTATTTGACTAAACTTCGTAGGACTGGTTTTGGATCCGTTGCCATTCTGTGAAACCAACCCCAGTTTGTCTAACTGTTATTAACATTATTGACAAACTCACCCCAGAGTTCTTTTAAAGTACAGATAATTGGCAGGCTGTCATTTGGGGAATACAGGCCAATTTAATATACAGAGTCTTTCATTGATGAACAAACTTTATTTGGAGAACAAACTTCATTTGACCCTTCCTCTCCCATCATCTCCACCTATTGATCTTGCTTCTTGTTGAGAATGATGACCAAGCACCTACGGTAATTGCTCAATACATTCAAAGAAAATAAATTAAGTTAATGGTTTCACCACCCTATCCCCCCCTTCAAAATTCTGATTCAAAAGTTTTCAGAAGTTTGTCAAAATGAGCTCTGTTGTGAGTGTCTGAAAATGATTTAATTTAAAGAGATATATAATTTAAAACGAGAGGCTTTCAAAATTTTAAAGTAATTACCATTGGGAGCAAACTTATCAAAACACCTCTGAAACTAAATCAATTGATCTGCGTCCTAAAGGTCAAACCTTTATTAACAACCACTTCTAAGAATTACTGTTCAAACATTGAGAATAAGAATTGTGAAAAACGAAAGGAGAAAATTGTGAATATAAAAGTCAATGCACCAGTGGCCCTCTAATAGATTATCTTTTACTTACACCGTTTTAAAACAATGTCTGTATCAAAACACAAACTCTGGAAATAACATTACGTAATTTCAACAGAGGAGGTGAAATCAAGTAAATAATTTATAAACTTGTTTCCATACATTTTAGAAGCAAGTCCTATTTATTAAATCAGAATTTTTTTAAATGATAAAATTAGCACTGACAACCTTTCAAAATGCATTAAAGGGATAATAACTCTTCGTATGAGATCATTATTTCACAATAAAAACATTATGAACAACTCATAGAAATATAATATATTCTGTTGTACCACAAAAACGGCAGTTACAGCTATTATTCTGATATCTGAGCTTGTCTTTAGACCACGTGGCTTCCACTGATGGCTATACTCTGTTATAATCTCTTAAGAATTATCAAATTATTAAAAACCAAACTTTTTAGAAAAACATCTGTGTCTGTACATAAAAACCAGGGACTAACTTTGAATGTGAAAATGGATTCATTAACCATTGGTAAGTATGGGAAAATTGTTGTTTACTCCAGGAAAATTCATTTTTTGGCCAAAACGAAGAGTTATTATCCCTTTAAGGGTTTTTGTCTTTACCTTACTTTAAACTGCTCCAAAATTATTCACGAAGTAAAAAAAAAAAAATACATATTTAACATTTATTAATTTTTTATTCCCCACTAAATGAAAACTTGTGATGATGGGAATTGCTCACATTTTACCACCAAAAACGGCAGTAAGCGCAATTATTTTAAAATCTGTGCTTGCCATCGGACCAAGTGGACCATCATAGATCGCTACCCTCTGTACAGAGACCACACTTTTTAAAAAGAAAAAACTGACTAACTCTGAATGTCAGAACAGATTCAAAAACCATTGGAGAGTATGAGAAATGTGTCCTTTACCCCAGGAAAATTCGCTAAATGGCACTTTCACTGCCAAAATGAAGACATGTCATCCCTTTAATCATACACATTATGCTAAATAGATTCAAGAATGCCCTTTCAGTAACATCCCTGGAGCTCAGTGCATTATGTCCAGTTTAGACAAGGAACATTCTGGACTGGAGATCAGTCTTAAACATGTCATCAAAAGATGACATCTTACAGAGATACCCTAGAGATACTCTGCGTCTGAGGAGGAATTCTGGTCATCTGAAGCCATTTTATCAAACGAACTCTAGCTAAAAAATTGGTATAAATTTTAAGATGTTCGAGCTAAATTCATAGTAGTCCACTTGCACAGAGCAACTTAAAGTAAGTATTGATCTGAAGTATTAGACTCATGTTTTTATGTTATAAACCAAGCTCAATATTTCATTTAATTGGACTACTGTCTGTTTATCATGGGTCAAGCTTGACCAAAATATTCAGTCTAAAAGTCAAGATCAATTTTTGGCTTCCATGGTGAGCTAATCATAATCAAATGAGTGGCACCATGATTAGTGCACCCAATGTGACTGGAAACATCCCACTTAATATTACTGGCCTGAACACAGCTTAGAGAAAATTCAGCTGAAGTGAAGAAAGTCTGTAACTCCAGTACGCAGGCATTGATAATATCAGTGACACATACGCAACCTCAATTTGAATTTTTGACATCAACTTAGCACAAAAACCTAAAACTCTGGAGGAGAGAACTGGCAGGACTGTATTATCAACATGGTCCGTAATTCAATTTCAGTCCAAGTGCAAGTGATCATTTGTTCTGTCAGGCAGTATATCAACACCCCTCTCTACTTAATTGAATTTTTGCTTTCACATTAACGATAAAGATTCATCCTGTCCTGATGAGAGGTTAGCGAGCCAAAGGCAATAAATCACTCTCTATCTAATTACTCCTATCAGGTAGCTTTTCTCTTGCACAAAACAAATGTAATTTTGTGTACAGTTCGAGTCAGAAAATAACAAAGATCTTCTTTATCAAGAGCATTACAGCGTTCTGCTAGGGAGTTTTTATTCCCTAGATTCTTGCAGAAGGAAGTTATTATGCATGCATGCTATGGAAGTTGATCATTGTGGCTGTAGCTTTTTTTTTTTTTGACTGATCTTATACCCGTCTTTTGCAATTGAACAAGTACTAATAAGTATCTGCATGCAACATTAGTCAATGCATTGTGCAGCTGCGACAAATTCGGTTCATGTATCAGTTGCAACATAGACATAACATTTTGTATACAACCCAAGGGAATACTCGAAAATCACCACAGGAAATCTCAATCACACAACCTTGACCTTTAATGTATAACCTTGAAATTTGACCTTGACCTAAATCCTCCATTTCTGACCTACCAGATTGGGCTGCCAGTTCTCCGCATTGATGCAGTTGTCAATGCACCACCAGAAGTCCTCTTCTGTCTCTCCCTTCCACGCAAACACAGAGTAGCCTGCCTCAGACAACGCTGCTGCCACCTCATTCTGAAAAATATGAAAATGATTTAACCAATTCCATGTCACCATATTCTCTCTCTCTCTCTCTCTCCATTGATGACAGATATCTGTGTTGAGTATGCATTGCAGCCACACTTACCTATGTAGAACAGTTAAATTGCGGGCAGACTTACCTGTGTAGAATAGATACTGAAGACAGGCTTACCCTCGTAGATTAGAAATTGCATTCAGACTTATCTGTGTAGACAAATATTGAAGGCAGATTTGCCAGAATAGATTAGAAATTGCAGCCACGCTTACCTGTGTAGAGTAGATATTGCACGCAGGCTTACCTGTGAAGAGTAGATATTGCAGGTAGACTTACCTGTGTAGAGTAGATATTGCAGGTAGACTTACCTGTGTAGAGTAGATATTGCAGGCAGACTTGCCTGTGTAGAGTAGATATTGCACGCAGGCTTACCTGTGTAGAGTAGATATTGCAGGTAGACTTACCTGTGTAGATTAGATATTGCAGGCAGACTTACCTGTGTAGAGTAGATATTGCAGGCAGACTTACCTGTGTAGAATAGATATTGCAGGCAGACTTACCTGTGTAGAGTAGATATTGCAGGCAGGCTTACCTGTGTAGAGTAGATATTGCAGGCAGACTTGCCTGTGTAGAGTAGATATTGCAGGCAGACTTACCTGTGTAGAGTAGATATTGCAGGCAGACCAGCGGACTTGGGCTCCCAAAGCTGTCAGAGTTTCTACCAGGACCTAAAACATTAAAAGGGAACAAGCACTAAATACAGTTCATTCCAACAGATATTTAAAACATGGAAAAGAATATTCATTTAACTAATTATGAAAAAAGCATTCTACCTTTTACACTTAACAGAAAATGCAATCTTACACCCAGGAATTCTGGACTGATAAAACTTGTATTAGTCCCTGACATCATCACCGTGTGCAGCGTTACATGTTATGAATGCTGCCTACGATCTCCCCCATACCCTCTCTTACCCCTCTTAACCCCTTCCCATAGTACTCACAGCAGTCTGTACAGTGAAGTGGGTGCAGCCTTTGACCCCCACCCCCTCTTAACCCCACCCCTTCCCACAGTACTTACAGCAGTCTGTGCAGTGATGTGGGTGCAGCCTATGATCTTGGCACCATGGAGAGGTTTGTCATCCTGGGCACGTTTCCTCAGTGCAACCAGACCAGGCATTTCTGAAAAAACACATCAAAAAAATTTTTTTTTAATTATCAAATTTTGCAGGATGACACCATTTACATTTCTTAGAGACAATGGCAGAGTTTTATTTGTTTCTTCACAGCCACCTTAACAAAACAGTCATGATCTTCTAAGCATGACTTACTACCTATCCAATTACACAACAAAAGCTCTGGGGCAGTAAATAAATAAATTAAAAAAAACATTATTGAGAACTATGGATAATGCAAATTTATCATTCAAATGAGTTACTCAATTCTGAAATGGACATTTTTAGAAATTTGCTACTATGCTAGTACAACTCTATCCCAGAGGCATCATCTCATCTTCAATATTACAGAAGACCTGTAAGTTTAGTCTGGAACTGTCTGTAAAGGAATCTACAGGCAGTTCCAAATGGTCTGGCAATGAAACTTTGGCAAATGGTCAAAACAGAAAGGACAAAAACAGAATCATCTCCGAGCATTATTATAAATTATTCAGACAGAATCTAATCGAAAGGAGATTTAACTAACATTAAGAAAAAAGTCAATCAAATCCTGTCACATGATTTCTTCGAAATATCATTTCCCCTAGAACATTACTTGCTTTTAACACAAAGGATGACTGACTGCAAAGCATCATTTGCAATTTTAATCCTTCAAATTGCTTTTTCGAGTAATCTAATAAAAACAATGCTCCCTTCAGTAACATTAGACTGTTGTTATTCAATGCACATGATGCTGTTCTCACTGCCAGTGAAGTATTACATAATGACTGCACTTTTCACCCCAATCATCCTTTTAAGGTTTTTTATCAAATGTTACCCCTGGTTACCTGTGAAAAATATGCTAGTCTGTTTTCATGGAAAATTTTGATGAAAAAACCAAGTGCATATATCTAAAAGTGATCTATCTCTGTTGAATATATTTTATTTTCTTAAGGGGTATAGGCACAGAATAAATGCAATGCCTATCATTAAACTATGTGTTGATTTAGGTTTAAATACACCAAGAGGCAAATTACTACAACAAAGGACTGCCAAATCCACTCTACTCCCTTTCCAATTAACTTACTGGCCAGCAAGTTCAGGCCACATGAAAGCCATGAATATCTTGATCAATGATTGCATGTATTCCAATCTCAATCTGTACGCTTGTTTATCATACAAATAATCCCCTTAGATGAAATCTGGACAGAAGTCAAATTCAGATTTACAATATAAAATAATAATATTGATTAAGGAATCTTGGTTTAGAGGTCAATGACCATTTCTTGACCACTTCTGATTATTGTAACGAAATCACCCTGAATTTCAGAGTACGTGCACTAGAACCAAACAGCTCAGAGCCAGAAATGGCAGATGCATGCTGCCAAGAAGGTTTCTTTTCAGTAATTTCTGAGGCCCAGAGTGAAAGACTTCTTTCTTGAGCACTGAAGGGCATAGAACATTTAATACAAGACAAAACCAATGAAAATTGTCATAAAGAAAGCATTATGTTCAGTGTGTGATTTATATCTCTGACCAATTTTCATCCTAGTCACTGTTATCACAGTGCAATACAATAAAAAAAATAATGTAATACAATGACGGCAAAGGAAATCTGAACAATGGTTATGAGTAATTTTCAACAATATTTGTTCGATAGGGAGTCCACAAAATTCATAAATAATACCTTGTGTTATTTTCATTCTAATCCAAGTCTGCATGTTACATCGGACCTCACTTTTTAAGATGACAATACTTAACTATCGAAATGCATTCATTCCAAGAAAATCTTTATCATTCAATGAATTTAAAGTCTAGTTTTTTTTAAGTCTAGCTTTTTTTTCTTCGTTAAGAAAGCTACTGAGATTATGGAAAACAGACCGGAGAATACTCTATTATATCATCAATGCCAATTATTACTAAATATTCTATATGCTTTATGGATACCAGAAAAACCCTTTCATCATATTTGTCATTGAGATATAAAGTTGAGAACATGAGCATTTCCTCAGTCTTCAAATTACACCATATCAGTTATAACAAATGATGAAAATCTACCCCGAATTGGCTCATAAATATATGCTTTGATGCTGTCTAACTTCTATAAGCACCTATCATTTCATATATTACCATGGGGAAAAAGGGCATAAGAAACGGAAAACATCCATTGTCAGGAAGCCATATTTTTCTCTCTGAAAAATGCAGCAATGTGCCAATAAAATGCATTGCATCTCTAGAGAGTACATTTTGAGCTGTGTTTTATTTCAACCTACATTATGCCATATCCTGTGGTACGGTACGTGGGCATGAGCATCAGATTGACAGGAGTCGCTCTGTAACCTCACTGTACTACTGACATTTCATGAAATAGCACTTTTTCTTTTTTCCATATGTTAGTAAACTGAAGCTGGTATTGCCTCTGGAGTGAATTGTAAGTCATTTTGCTAAAGGGACAGATGAAATTTTCAAAAAAAGAAGAATTATCAATGGCCTGTTTGTGATTGACGACTGTTTTTTAAATTGGTTTCAGACCATTAATACCCATAAATATTTTTGCCCTCTGTCTATTTACCCATCTTTCTTTTTTTTTTAAATATATTTACTTAAGCACAATTGTAGGTTGGGAGATACAAAGAAAAGTGGTAAGTTTAAATGTTCTGAGTCACTCCAGCTCAATGCATGGAAGTCTGGCTTCAGTCATGCAACAAATGCAAGCACCTGCCTTTCTTTTCAGCATTGCTTCCCTCAAATAAGTAAGAACAGCAATCAAATGCAGATTTCTATTTCTGCTTTTGATGAAAACATTTATCAGGAAAACACATAAAGAGATGTTGATACTGTTTTTTCAATAAAAACCCAGGTTGCCTGGTTTGAGAAATATATGCAGTAGATTGGATAAGGTCGCATTCATAACAGTTTTGATGCAATGGTTTAAGTTTTAAAAAAAGCAGCTTAAGAAAAATGCTTTTACCACATTTTTTAAAGTAAAATTTAAAATANACGAGACCGAAACCATGTGTACCGCCAGCGCTAACGCTGGTGGTACAATAATCTTCTCAAATACAACTGCTCAGAGGAAGATCTCCAAGAATGTGCTCACTGCCATTAGGTTACTCTTTTTCTGGTTATAAACAAATCACTTGTAAAGTGCCTTGTTGACAACAGAAGTCATGTCAGGTAAAATATGTGTGAACACGGCCTAATATAGAGTCAAACTGGTTTCCATGCCTGCAATTCATTCATGTGTCTTGTCACACCTGGTGGCAACAGTAATACCAGTGTACACAATAAGTACTGATGGTTTTTCACAAGTCTGAAGTACTAAAGAGCACTTAAGAAAAAAAGTTGCCAATCCATCTTGTTTTTATCTGGGGAAAACACTTACCACCAATGTTCCAACTTTGCAATCATTTGGAGAAAATACCACTACCAGTTTTTAGCACGAACTATTGTCATCCATCTTTAAAACCCCCTTGTAGTTTTCATTGACACTTTTCTGTTATGTCTTTTTCCTTGAAAAACTGAGGGTACTAAACACTTACCTTGCTCAGCGATTTCAATTTCTCGACGCCCAAAAGCATGCTGCTCAATGTTGCGGACACAAAAATCCTTGAAGCCTTGAGAACTTTGCTAGGAAACAAGAAAATACAAATTTTATCATTCAGTGCCCATTCCTATAAAGTAACTTAAAAGGATAACAGCAGTTCGTTTTGGCTAAAAAATTAATTTTCATGGGGTAAACGGCAATTTTCCCAATATTACCAATGGTTAATGAATCCATTTCAACATTCAAAGTAAGTCCCTGGTTTTTTTTCCAAAAAGTTTGTTTTTTTTTTGTAATAATCTCTTAAGACAAATATTCAATATCCACAAGCTTAACAATAATCTAAGGGATCTTTCCCCATAAAACTGTTCTATGTAGATCAATCTAGCTCCTTGGGGACTGTTGCTGAATGCAATCAGATTAACATGCCTTTTTCTAATATTGAGTAGAATACAGAGAAGCTGGTGATTATACAAGTACGTAAGAAACAAGAGGAAGAGCCTGACTGCATTCAGCGAGAGTCCACACATAGTTGGATCAATCTACGTAAAACAATATTTTTTTCATTTAGAATGGGTCCTAATATATATTCAATATCTTTCTAAATAGAGAGCACACCACTAATGGGCTATTTAACTGTTTCACATGTGGCGTAAGTTAAAAAACTATAATAAATAAATAAATAAATAAATAAATAAATAAATAAATAAATAAATGCCTTTCTCACCTGTTCTTTCTCTCTGGGATTTATGTCATCATCATCAGAAGAGCTTCCTGTATAGGACGCTGGAAAAGAGAACCAAATACTTCATCAATCAGGATGGAATAAAATACATTGGAAAGTAACCCAGTATGTTTCACTAAGAGTCAAAAGTTTAAGCTTTGACTACAAAACCTGGATAGTGGATTACATAAAGCGGAGTCTACAATGTTAATCTTAAAACTTTTTACGAATGATTTGCCCATAATAAATGCCTCTGACAAACTTGAATGGGCTATTGTCACAGTGAGAATAAAAATCATTATCAAGACAAACACAATTTTCTCAAGGGGTTTAACAGTAATTTAAACCCTTAGAAATGGGGCGAGTTGCATTTCCTATTTATTGTGCAACACAACTTACCCAGCTTAAGTTGTTAGCTGTTTTCACAATGACAGACTTTCAACTCAACTATTATGCAAAACAGGTCTATGAAAAATTTGTTTGCTATCTGCACTGAACACATATAACTAGTAAACAAAAATATTTTACTGAATATGACTGTTATATCCAAGGTCTCTCTTACTCGGCGAAAATTGTCACAGCCAAATAAATGCAAAATTTATAAGATAAAAAAAGCTTACTTTTTCAAGAAAAATGAATATTGGTTCAACTAAATGAAATATTGCATTTGTGATTTAAGTTGAAGTGAACCCAAATTTTAGTTTAAAGTTAAAACAGACTTTTAGTAGGGGTCATTTTAAGGAAGCAGGCCCCTCATGACAAGTGTTCAAGTGTTACGATCATAATATATAAGGGAGGAAGACACAGAAATGTTTACCTAGAAAGTAAGTGTATGTGCGGTAAATTTTAATTTTAAATGCTTCAAGGAAGATGAAAAAATGGAGAAGAGACATGCCAGTGCACTGTTTCATGTGATAATGTGTGGTAATGTCAGATAATGCATGGTAATGTGTTAAGGATGACTGCAGAAATACTTCAACCCTTTCCACTTGATGTCATATCTTCTATTTCATGTGATAAAATGCTATTTTCAAATTGATATTTGGTCCACTTGCATGCAAACACCCACAAATAAGTAACATTTAATTCAAAAGGCAAAAGATAGTTGAGTGATTGGTAAATTAATCAAACTTTAGAAATTCTACTTCTTAATCAAGCAGAGAGAGAGAGAGAGAGAGAGAGAGAGAGAGAGAGAGAGAGA